TTCTTCATCTTGATTTTGATAGATGTCATTAATAAAAAACCTCAACCTTCTTTATTGCATTTATAAGATTCTTTTTTAACTTCTATATGTCTTCACTAATACCATATCCATATCAATGGATAAGATATTTCAACTTATTTTGGTGTTGCTTTCAATCTAAGACTTCTTCCACCTTGAACTCTTTATTATTATCCATTTCTATAAGAAGATGTGACATTTGTCTTCTTCTTGAAATATTTACTATCTTATATGATTTAAAAAGAGACACATAGAATACAAAGTAGATTTTTAAAGACTTTGGTTGATGTAATTAATAAATATTAGCATTGATTTGTTCACAAATAGGAAAAGATCTAAACCTACAATAGTTCAATTTGTCACAAGAACAAGTAAACCTGATATTGCAACAAAGTATTCCTTGCAATAGGCATCTGCATTAAACTTTGGTCGTTCTTGAGTTTTTTTTAATCATGCCTTAGTTGTTGCATGTAGCTTTGAAAAATATTTTGCTAAATTTTTTGTTGTATGATTATTAACTTTTCAAAAGTCAAAAGTATCAAGTTGTAGATGATAACCATAATTAATAAAGAAAGATATTTATTCAGTAGTATCACAGACATATACATTTACTCAAATAGTTACTTATATGATTAGATAGAAGTAGGTAAATATAAATTAATTTCATAAAGTCTTCTAAAGAAGCTTTCTAGAAGCTTCATAGATGTGATTTTGACTTTAGATGTATTTGTAGATTAGAAACTTGGCCAACAAATTAACCACGTATTGATATCTTGTAGAATAAGTTAATTTTACATAGTAGCTTGTGGAATAAACTAACTATGTGGTGCATACATAGATAACTTGTCTTGCAAGTTAAGACATGTGGCTAACAAAGTCAACACATTTTGGAGGTCCTATAGGACACTACCACATAGTTCCTAGTTAAGAGTATATATGGAAGCAATAATAAAGCCTTCTTCACTCTTATCAATGCCTTTCGAGTCCTTAGTCTGCTTTCAAGACTTTCTAGTTTTCTTATTTTTGGGAATAGCCATTCTAGTTTAATATTATATCATCTTTGAGTAACTTTTTAGTTTCTTTTAGTGACACAAGAGTGTATTGAGGATTTTCTTTCTTTAAGATTCATGTCTTTGATAATTTGACGAGAGTGCTAACATAATATTTCTGTCTTGTTTTAGAAGTGAGTGAATTATTCCACTTCTATTGTTGTATTTTGAAGGTTGTGGATTATCCACCTTTAAACAAAAAATCTTATTTTCTAACACTGATCTTTTCCTTAAAGAGAGTGGATTACCCTTCTCTGTGGATATTTTTATTAAAAATTATAAATTATCCTATTCTAATTTAACTTTTTGAATTTGTTTGATTTGTCTATGGAAGGAAAGATTATGGATGCTACTCCTAGCAAAAGTGAGAATAAATTTGCAACTATTCTAGATCTTCACGAGCTTGTCAACACTCTTAAGGTAGAAATTTCATACATCATCAATGTCAATCATAAGAGCACTATTTCTATACCTATGGAAGAAGTCCAGATTCTATATCAAAAGGTTGTGCAATTGAAGGAAACAAGTCAATCAGCCTCATAACCAAATTCAGGGGGTCTTTCTTCTATAAATTTAAGAGAAGCAAGAATTAATATGCGTAAGAAGTTTGATGGAACAAGATCAAAATTTTGAAGGTTTTTACAAAAAATTAAGCTCTACTTAAGATTATACCCTTTTCAATACGTGGATGGATTTATTCAATTCGCCTTCATAGGCACACTTGTATCTGGAAGTGCTCTTTTTTAGTTTACACCTTTGATGGAAAATGATTCACAACTTCTTTATGATTTAAATTCATTCTTAGAAATATTTATGGCTACATTCAAATAAAGTAATCTAGAATAAGTAGTAGAAACCAAAATCTTATCTTTATAACAAGGATCACGATCACCACCACATATGCTGCTAAATTCCAAAACCTCACTTATAACGTGGATTAGAATGAAAAAGTACTTATCAATCAATTTCGATATGGATTGAAGGATAGCATCAAAGATTAGTTATTAACAATACCAAAAGCAAAATCTTTAGAACAATTTATTGCTCAAGCCATAGCATGCAATAATCGATTATTTAAAAGGCGTCAAGAATAAAGACTTAGTTGAAGAGGAATAAAATAAGTAATGGCAGTAGCTTCTAAGTTTTCTGAAACATATTCATCAAGGTCGGAACCAATGCAAATTAATATAATATATTTTAAATTTCTCTTGAAGCAAAAAAAAGACTCAACGTTGCTAAGAGGGTTTGTATTTATATTGTGGAGAAGCTAAGCACATTGCTCAACATTGTCCAAAGAAATAATACAATTACAAAATAAAGAGCACAATTACAAAAAAAAATAATATATCAAAAAATAAGTTTCTTTAGCTACAATAAGAATTGTGTGGCTAGAATCATGTGCAACACCTAGTAATGGTCCTATTCTCTCTTCAAATCCCTCACCTTGTTTTATAATAGATGTATGTTTAAGATCTAAAAATCACAAAGTCTTCATCTTATTAGATTCAAGAGCCTCAACTTGTTTTATAGATAAAGATTTTGTCAAAAATAAAAAATACTTTTAGTCAAGAAAACTAAACCTGTACATGTAGAAGTCATAGATAGTTGTTCGTTGTCTTCTAGAAATATTATCCATAAGACTGTTCTTTTAGATGTAGCAATTAAAGATCATAACAGTATAGTAGTATTTAATATAATAAGATCTCCTTCTAATCTGGTTATTTTAGGATTATTGTGGCTAGAAAAATATAATCCTCAAATAAATTGGATTTTTCATAACCTTAACTTTTTTGGTAGTATAATTCAAGATTGGATCAATGGAGTAAAAATACATAAGTCTAGTATATCCAAACCTTCACTAGTAGATACGAGAGCTTTCATGCATGCTACAAAAGAAGAATCAACTTTTGCTATATATGCTACGTCTATTTCTAATGATGGAAAAACATCAAGTGATATTCCTAGCCAATATCAAGAATTCCAAGATATTTTTGAAAAGAAGAATGTAATTATTCTTCTAGAGCATTGACCTTATAATTGTTCAATTGATCTGCAAGAAGGAACTCAATTACTATTTGGACCAATTTATAACTTATTGTAGAATGAATTGGCTACATTAAAGAAATAAATTGATGAAAACTTAGTAAAAAAACTTCATATGCCATTCTAAATCTCAAACCGAGGCTCCTATTTTATTTGTGAAGAAGAAAGATGGATCTTTGTAGATGTGTGTAGATTATCAAAGACTCAATAAGATTACTATAAAAAAAAGATATCTTTTGCCTTTGATTTTAAGAATATTTGACCAATTCAATCAAGCAAATATCTATGCCAAAATAGATCTACGAGAAGTATATAACTTAGTTTGTATCAAAGAAGGAGATGAATAGAAGACTACTTTTTGAACTACGTATAGACATTTTAAATATAATATCATGCCTTTTGGACTCATAACTACATCAGTTGCTTTTTAGAAGCTTATGAATGATGTTTTTTGTGAATTTTTGGAAGATTTTGTCATTTGCTATTTAGATGACATTTTAATCTACTGTCAAGAACATGAAATGGAAGAAATTGCATAAACAAATGAAATACGTATGAAAGAAAAAGTAAAAAAATAGAAATAAGAAAGTACATATATTAAAAAAAAACTTGAATGGCTTATTGTCAAAAGACAAGAAAACTTGAGACTCTTGAAACTAGACTAGAAGCAAGAAAGAAGTTGACAAGAGTAAAGAAGACTTCACTCTTGCCGCTATATATACTATCTAACTAGAGGCTACATGGCAATGTTCTAAAAGACCTCCAATATGTGTTAACTTTGTAAAACACATGCCTTAGCTTAACAAACAAGTTTTCTAGATGTGCGCCACATAATTAGCTTGTTTTTCAAGCTATCAATATGTGTGGGACATGGCCAACTTGATGACTATATTTCTAACCTAAAAGTCAATTAAAGACATCTATAAAGTCAAAAGAGCCTCTATAAAGCTTCTAAGAAGCTTCCTAAGAACATAGTATAGAATTGACCTACTTCTATCTACTTCTACCTATTTATATAAGTAAATATTGGCTTATATGTATATGTTTATTTTATAGTAATATTAAGCTAAATATGTTGCTATCTGAGATATTATTATTATAATACATTAGCATGTATACTTTTTAAATTATTTAGTAGAATAGATAATTATTAGTTTAAATGTTTATAATATTTATAACAATTTATGTAAAAGATGTATGTATTAAATTTATTAGTACAAGTTTTAATATTAACTTGAAATATATAGATATATTATTTAATATGCTTTTATTTTTACTATTTTTTATTTTTTATTTTTTAATTATTCATACACTCACATCTTCATAATTAAATACTTTAGGTGTAAGATAAAGACATAAAGAAGCCTTCTCATTGGCCAAAGAGAAATAAACAAGAGAATGGACTGATAGTAGTAGCAAAGATCACAATGCCCAACATCACAAGTTTCCACTAGAATATATATATATATATATATATATGAATGTTAAATAGACCCAATGCTTTTATTAAATATTAAATAGATCCACCCTTGATAAAAAATATGGTAATCATGATGAATGTGATCGGTTTTTATTGGTTGTAGATTCAATAGTTGAAAAATGAATCTAAAGGTCATTATATTTTTTTCATGATGGTTAGGATGGATGGGTTGATTTTGTAAAGAATTGGATCTATTTAACATTACCCTTTCTATCCATATATATATTCAAATACATGTACTTTGGTCTCATACTAATTATAAAATGGTACGAAATAATTAAAATACAGAATCAAATCAATATTTCTTTTCGTTGCTGCCCTCGGCCCGCTGCCCGACATCCTGCCCACGAAGAAAAAGCTTAAGCTGCGAAGCACGCAGTGAAGGTGGGTATTAGCACTGTAATCAATCAAGCTCAGTCAACTCCAGCAGCGAGACGGGGAGATTTTGCAACAACAAGAAATCTATCGTCATCGTGGTCTGCAATTCGTGAACATGCACATGTCCATCTGGACGTTCTATCTATCTATAGTACTATGCGCAAATTCGTGGATGTGACAAAAGCAATGGATTCGGGGATCACCAGTGCGCATTTCGTCCCTTTGCCAGCAAGCAGAGCTCTTGTGCAACCCTTATTTTTGTGCGTCCAATCCTCAAGGCCGATTAATTTCTCGTCTCTGCTACTCTAGTGCGATAACCCATCTGTTGTTTTAGCCATTTGAAGCTTTAGGGTCGCCATCTGGGCTTCGCAGCGATGGCAGCTTTCATGGTGAGGCAGCGAGGGCAGGGGCTGTGGAAGAATGCGATGGCCATGGGCCAGCAGTACATGCAGCTTCGGCAGATGGGCTCGGCCGCTAAGAAGATCGATCTAGAATCTGATGTCGCCTTGCAGGAGGCTCGCACCTGGGACGAGGGCGTCTCCACCAAATTCTCCACTACCCCAGTTTCCGAGATCTTCAAGGTTCGTGTTAATGGCTCCCTTTTCTGTGAGTAGTAGCATGTGTTGGTATTGTGGGTTGTCGTTGCCTTGTGCTTTCCCCTGGTATTAGCCAGCGGTGGTTTCAACTTGATTACTTAAAAATAGTAGAACTAGCAATTTAGGTTATTTCGGATAACTGGTGGCGTTTTCTGTTCAACTAGATTTAGAACTGTATCGTCTCTTTCATGTTTTTTCCTTTTTATAAATCTTGGCAATGGCGTCAAGAGGATTGTTCCTGCGTTCCTTGCATTGACCGCAGTGTTAGTCAATTGTCTAGAATATTCGTCCCACAGTACTTCGAGAAGTAAGCCCGTTGTGGGAGTTGGTGACCATTGTGTGTTGTGAACAAATGTGAAAAGATCGTGACAGTTCTGATCAGAATTCTAACATTCATTTCCTTTATGTATTTAAATGTTTTGTAGGGGAAGAAGGTTGCTATCTTTGGTCTTCCTGTAAGTGCTCGCTCACCTTGACATCTTAACTTTCACCTTGTTAATTTGAAGATGGTTTTGTTGTTACACATGCCTGTCCTTCAATTGTCAATTTTTGGGTTAGGAAGCTTGACCTGGATGAGCACAATTTGTTTGGTCCTTGAAGGTGTGAAGGGCACGAGATTACCGATTTGAAGTTGCTCTTATCTTTCTCTGCAGGGTGCATTCACAGGGGTTTGTTCTCAGAAACATGTGCCAAGTTTCCTGAACAACTCAGACAAGTTGAAATCGAAGGGAATAGACTCCATTGTGTGTGTCTCTGTGAACGATCCCTACACCATGAATGCCTGGGCAGAGAAGCTGGGTGCCAAGGACAAGGTTGGTCGTGACCATTTCTCACTCAGTAAACATTCACGAATCCTCTTCTAGTAACGATTTTTTTTTTTCTTTTCCCCTCCGTTCCTGCACACCTTCAAAAGCAATGCAGATCGATTTCATTAGAAGTATCAATTTGCTTAGCTGATTCATGGATGTCTCCAGATCAAATTTTATGGTGATTTCGACGGCAAGTTCCACAAATCTCTTGGCCTCGACCTCGATCTGTCAGGCGCTCTTCTCGGACCTCGCTCTCAAAGGTAAGCTTTCATGTTAGTTACCACTGGACTTGATGGAATCTTAGTCTTGCACCATCTTTGTGCAATCGTTTGTCTCATTACAAACTCTGTGCACGTAAGAAGTGAAATGGCATACATGTATATTGCAGGTACGCGGCAGTCGTTGAGGACGGAAAAATCAAACAATTGAACGTTGAGGAAGTCCCGTCAGACTTCAAAGTATCCGACGCCGAAACACTGTTGAAAGGACTGTAGAACAATGCAGTTAATGTTGGTGGAGGTTCGTAGAGTTTATGTAGCAGGAGAATCACGTCCTTTGCACACGTGACTTGGAAACTTATAACTTATTGTGACAATTGTAATCACCGCCAACGTTATGCCAACCCCCGTCCGCCGGGTGCTACCTACTGAACATGCCAATCTTAGTAGACAGAGGACATGGACAAATACGGTTCTCACAAATTCTATTCTCGAACTACCAACTTCAAATCTGATCCAGAGTTCCAGAGGTTTCGTTTGTCATCTGTATAGAATTCCTCGCCGCTGCTTCCCTTGCACCTAGCCGCAAGACTCTCGAAAGGTAAAGAGTGATTGTTCGTGCATGAACGATCATTCCACTCAAATCACTACCACTCCAACTGATATCTCCATTGTCACACTCCAGTAGCAATAGATTAACATACAGTGTACTCTCAGGGGACCAATGCCCCGAGAACTTCAGGTTGCGACTCCGGCTACTCGACCAGTGACTATGATTTCTTATGACTGTTTTCAATTTTCTAGCATTAGCCTTGATCTTGCTTTAGGTTGCACTCGGTATATGTTGGTGCAAGACGTGCACCGAGGGTATGTATAAATCGGTAACAAACTTGCCTGACTCTCAGTATGAATGGATGAAACATTCAAGGAAACTAAGCTACAAACTAGAGATGATATTAATTGAAGAATCTATGTAATTGAAACGATATTTATCCTCGAGAATTGTTGACAAATCAGGTATACATCCAAAGCAATTGCATTCGACGTAATCAGGCTTTAGGTTTCACGATTAGTACTTCACTTTTAATAAGTGTTTGCATTGGCAAAAGGAGAATTGCTTTGTTAAGAAATCAAGTGATTATATTTTACATAGAATAACATAAAACGAAGTAGCATATTGTATTATTACTTCCAAAGGACAATGAAGGAAGTTGTAAATTAGGTAAGATTTTGTTTGTATTGTTTTGTTTTTTATTTTTATTTTAAAATTGTGTTTAGAAAGAAAGGACTACAAGAAGATTTGATAGTAGGTTAGATAGTTTTTTAAAAATATGTATCACAAATACATTTTAGCTGTATTTTAGAAAAGATTAAAACATTTACGATCAAAATATACTTGTTCTTTGTGCAAGTAGTAAAAAATATCATTAATTTTTTTCACCTATAAAAAATAAGTCCATAATTTAAAGTAAATAAATAAATAAAAGTCAATTCAAAGAAGATATCTCATTAATTTTATTGAATTATACAAAATAAATACATAATTATAAAAAATTATGCTATGACGATATAATCTCACTTAAGATGTAACTATAAGGCATGTCATATTAAAGAGTAATATTAAAAAAAAAAAAATTATGAACAAAATATAATTTCAAAAGGAATAATTTATTAATCTAGTGGAAAAAAATTACATAGAAAAATATTAAAAAATAATTTTAAAAAATTAAAAAGACTTAAAAAGATTAAAATAATATTTTTTGAAAACTTATAACAAGGAGAATCTATTATTCATTTAATATTTTAAGATTTAATTAAATTTTATAAAATAAAATAAAAATTTTCATAGATTTTAAAAAAAATAAATTATTATTTTATTTTATTTTGTATCCTATACATTAATAATAGTGGTATGTATGTGCACATCTATCAAAAGAATATTGCAACTCATCATACTTCATATAAAAGATATATAAAGAATATTCTAAAATCTTCTAAGAATCTTTTATATTATAGTTTGCATCATTGATGGAAGAAGATTTAAGACTATTGTATAATTTTTATGTATTTTTTGAGACGTTTATTATTAAATTTAGAAGTAATAATCAATAAACAAATGTAGAAACTAAACTTCAATCTTTGCAATAATGATCACATTTTGTTGCTATTTATGCTACCAAATTTTAACAACTTGTATGTGATGTGATTTAGAACAACAAAGCCCTTATTAACCAATTTGAATATGGTTTGAAGGATAATGTGGACTTAGTATTGGCAATGCCAAAAGCCAAATCTTTGGAGCAATTTATTATTCTAGAAATTACATGTGACAATTAACTATTTGAAAAATGTTAAGAATAAAGACTTAATTGAAGAATATCAAATCATACTATTACAAATACTTCTAGAATTTTGGAAAATTATTCCTCAAGCCTCAAATCTATACAAATTAACACTACTCAATTTAAGCAAGTAACCTATAAAAAAAAAGATAAATGTTGATATGGATTTTTTTACTTATATTGCAAAAAACCAAGGCATAACAAATAAGATTACCAAGTGAAATTAAATGAATTTAGAATTTGTTATACAATCTTAGAAATAGAAAAGTAAAAAAATGAAGATGTCTAGTTCTAGTAGACTCCTTGCAAATAGATAGTTCTATACTTGAACTATCAAATACATATCTCATGATATGACTAGATCCTATACCTAATTTTAAATTTCTTATTAGTATAAAATCATCAATATGAGGATTTCTAATTAAAGTTCTTTAGACAAAAAAGTTTCTTTATATTTAATAGATAATTTTTTTGCATTACAACACAATTTGGTACTTAAACAAAAAAGTTGTCTAACTCTAATAGAGGTGCTTTACAATTGACTACTTACATCTGGAGATGTTGTTGAAGTAATCCACTTGTTAAAGGTTGCTCTAGAAGACCAAGTATTACATATCCTTTTAAATATCATTCAATATCCTTCAAATCTAGTGGTATTTGTATTTTTTTGGATTGAATTACATAATCTTGATATTAATTAAAGATTGAGAAAAGTCTTAACAAGATTAAACTCTCATATAAGCAAGTCATCTAATACTTATTTTTTGAAGCAAAAGCTTTCATATGAGCTACTAAGAATAATATGAATTTTGCTCTTTAAGCAATACCAATACACACATCAACAATACTATCCTTATAAGATATATATCTTTAATATAAATATTTTAGGACATGTTTGAGAAGAAAAAAATAGGCATATTATCAAAACTTTGATTTTATGATTGTACAATTGAATTATAAGAAGGAGCTCAATCCATGTATGGACTAATTTGTGATCTATTTTAAACCAAATTGGTAGCTTTGCAAGAGTGTATTAATAAAAAGTTGGCCAAAAATATCATTCAATATTCAAAATTTCCTATTAGGATATCAATCTTATTTATAAAGAAGAATGAAGATTCTCTTCAGATATGTGTTGACTATTGACTACAAAAGTTCTTAAGTTCTTAAGTTCTTTGTTTTTGGCGATGAAGTTTATAAGAATCAAAAGATGATACATACTATTTTATAGTGAACAACACCAATATCAATATAAGATGTTTGATGTTTCTTTGATTTGTAAAATTCTATAAAATCTTTATTAGAGATTATTCTGAAATAATTGTACTACTAACATGACTTATTGGAAAGAAAAAAATTTACTTAGAATACAAAACTAAAGAATATTTTCTAGTATTAAAATAATCCTTTACATCAACTTTAATATTAGTTTATGAAAATTTATCAAAATCATTTGATTTGGAAGCAGATGTATTATATTTTTCCATGGACTCAATACTATTTCAATATGGATAAGAAAAAGAATTTATTCCATTGGTTTTTGATCTCATAAGTTCTATGCAATTGAAATGAAAAATAAAATCTATAACAAAGAACTTCTTTTATCATTATTTTATTTAAAAAAATGACAATATTATTTTTAAAAGAAGCTAGATTTACAATTATGGTATATATAAACCATAAGAACCTTAAGTATTTCATGAATGTATAAATCTTGAATTAATAGCAAATACATTAGAATACATTATTTTCTCTTTTTGATTTTATAATTACTTGTCGATTTAAAAACCTTTAAAAAATTCTAAATTTTCTATTTCACCAAAAATATGGCTTCAAAAGGTGATGATGATATTTTAGATCAAGAAAATGCTACTCTTATTTGTAAGTAATGATAATATAAAAGACATCTTTGAGCTTATTTATTTCAAAAGAAGATTGTCGAAAGCCTTGAAATCAAAGGTTTGGCTACATATCTTATAAAAATCCATAAAGAGATGATATTTTAATTATAAAAAACTCAAGATTAATACAAAAGAATACATATATTGCCATCAAAGAGCTCAACTAACTTTCAAAATTGGAGATTAAGTATGGCTTTTGAAAAAGAATATTTAAACAAAGTAATTATTAAAAGATTTGGACTATCAAAAGATAGAACTATTTCAAATCATATAACAAAATAATTTGATTATTTATTTTCTTAAACTTCTAGCAACTATGAAAATCTATCTAGTCTTTTTTGTTTCTTTATTAAAAATCTATAATCATTCCAAATTTTGGACAAAAAACTTCTACTTCTACTTCTAATTGAAATTGGTTATGAAGATGAATATGAAGTTGAAGAGATCTTCAATTGACAATAAAAAATAGTCAATTGAAATATCTCATTTACTAGAAAGATTACAACATCAATGAACAATGATAGGAATCTTCATCTAATGTTATCAATGCACCATTAAAGATATCATACTTATGAACCATTAAAGACATCATTATTATTATCTATAGACATCCAAGATATATGATTGAAGATTATGATATTATAGATATGATATGATCAAAGACAACTTCAAAAAGAAGCTTGAATATCAAACTAAATATAAAAATAGAGAGACTTAATCAAGAACAATATCAATATGATATAGTTTGTCTTCTAATTATTTAATTTTTAAGTTTTATATTAAAGTTATTTTATTTTAATTTTAATATGTGAAATTAAAAGATTTTTATGGAATATGAAGATCCTTAAATTGAGCTTTTATTGAGAAATCAAACATATTTACTATCAAAACAATTACCATCTTATTGATATTTTTTTATATAAAGCTAGACTATTTGAACATCAAATATGTCTTTGCTATGATTAAGTCTAATATAGAAGTCTTCAAAAAAATGCTTAAGTATTGGTTTTGGTGTTGCAAGTTGAAAGTGTTGAACTATGAGATCAAGATATTACTTTTGAAGGAATTTTTGAAGGTTTTAATTCCAATTAAGTCATCTAATTATATTCTTTGATTTTAAGAAGTATTGGTTATAGATATTAGTTGGAAGGATCTATTCATCCATCAAGTAGAAACCATAGAACAACATTTATATTAAATTTTTTTCTACAAATCATAAATTTTTTGCAAATATGAAGAAAAATAACATCAATGCTCTTCATTGAACTTATCTCTAAGAGAAGAGGTGATGTTATAGATATACAAAGAAGATTCTAAAACCTTCTAAAAATCTTCTACATTTAATAGATATTTTTAGAATATTCTAAGAATTTGATAGAAGTATATAATAGATGGTTTAGAAGTTAAATTATATTTGGTAGCTTCTAGAATAAGTTAGAAATTAAGCCAAATAGTATAACTTGGAATATAAGTCTTTTCAAGAAGCTTTTCGAGAGACTTCTTGTAACTTGGCTGGTAAGTCATCTACTAGCTAGAATATGAAAAAATGAGAGTCTTAGACTTTAAGCCTTTGGACTTGCAAGTAGTATAAATAGAAATAAGATTGAGGCTCTCCTTAGTCTCATAAACTTGACTCTTGAATTAGTTGTTCTTATGGCTATTAAGCATTTTTATTCCTCAATATTAATTATTAATTATTAGTTTTTTACCCATTCTTTTTTTTTCTATATATATATCTTAGTCTTCATTGCTTAAAGCTATTTTTTCTTCATTGATATCTTAAATGTGTCTTTGACACTTCCATTTATAATTTCAATAAGAGATGTTAATCAATTTCTTTCTTAATAAATAAAAAAGGTAGGAAAAGACTAAATATATAAGGTTGATATTAAGAGCCACATCCTTTAAGCTTTGACTACACTATGTATTGTTCAATTTGCAAGAGACATGTGACATTTTATTATTTTGCTATTATTGTGATGCTATCTAAAAGAAATTAATTCTATATCTATTATAAGCATTTAGAATCTTATTGCTTCAATATATTACTTCCAAAGTAAACTAAGGGGCTCTAATTCTAATATGAATATATTGTGGATGTATGTATATATTAAAATAAATAATTAATATGAATTTATCTAATGAATAAATAAATAAAATTTTAAAATATTTATAGTATTTTAAAAATATTTTATAAAAAATAATAAAAATATATTATAAAATTTGAATTTATAATTTTTTAAGAATTTTTATTTTATTAATATATTAAGAAATTAAATATAATATACTAAATAATAATATTTAATTTTATCACAAATATATTTTTTTTAAATTTTGAATTTATTACTTTTATAAATATTAATATAAATTTGTGAATTTTTAATTAATGATTTTTTAATGTCATAAAATAATAATATGATAAAATTATGTAATTTTTTTAATTTTTTATAAATAATACCACTTATGTACCAATTAAAGATCTATAATCTATGCATATTAAGATATTATATATTTATTATATAACTTCTTATATATTTTGATATAATTTAATATACGTATATTTTAAAATTAAAATATTAATATAAAATTGATAAAATTTATGTATTTTAATTCATTTAAAAAATCAAAGTTTTATATAAGCTCTTATTACTTGTGCTTTAGAATACAAGCCTCTAAAATATATTTCAAAAAAAATTAAAATATCTTCTTTTAATATTTAACTAAAAATTAATAAAATAATATTAATTTTATGTTAAACTATCATTTTAACTTTTTTTATTTTTATTTTTATTTATAGACAACATCGAATTGTTTCAAGACCTAGCTTACAAAAATAATTATGTAATATTTACATAATGATTCTAAAGTTTTTAACCTTTTTAATGAGAAATATGAAGTATCTTTGCAAATATATATTTTTTAATTCTTTGACTCTAAATAAAAATATTAAATATCAAAATAAATTAATAAATAATTAGATTAAGTTAGACTAAATTATGAAATAATAAAAACAAAATTATTCAAAAAAAGAAAAGATGTCATATTATCTCCTAGAGTAAAGACACCCTAGTGTGTGTATAGACTTAGTGGGTGAAAAGATGTCATATTATCCCCTAGAGCAAGTGGAGGCAGCGGTTGCAGCGCGGAGGATAGAGGGAATGGAGGGTAGACCAAAGAGCGGGGAGAGGCGAATTGTTGGTCAAGTAGATGCTTAGAGTAACAATTCCTTTCTGCCTAGATTGAGATGACCCATCATCAACAACTAAGGCTCTCAAAATCAAGAGATGATGCATGAGCAAAATGTGTTTCCTCTATCTTTGAGATTGCGGTGTCAAGAGAGTCACAATTATACTGGCACAGAGCAACAATTGCAGGGCATTTCTCCCAGCGACACATTGATGTCAGAGCATGTTCCCGCCGCGGCCACACCAAGTGAAGTAAAAACCCCTCGTTCATTGGTTGCCAGTACTCCACCTGAGGGTTTACACTTGCTACGGAATTGGAATTCGTCTAGTCACTATTTGAATGAATCTTCAGCAAATGTCCAAACTGTAGACATTAAAGTCTAGGTACGATCAGCTGCTTCACTGGCTCAACCTAGATGGAAAGCTGCAGCGGTTCCAAAAGCAAAGTCTCTTGCATAGATCCAGGAAGAGGAAGCCACGGTCAAGAAACTTGGAGAGCAGGTGACAGTTGATACATGTTCGCGTAACGATGAGAAACATGATCACATCACCGAGTAGAAACATTTACAGGTCGGGTCTTGCTGTGCATCTCCTGACTGAAAAACGGAGCAGCGTATTCATACCCAATAAGACGAAGATTATTCCGCGTCTTGGTGTTGAACCAAAGTTGCAGCAAGGACTCGTAGGAATTGTGACTCATATGTGCCGCGACTGATGTGAGTGACAGACAGGTTCTCGTCCATAAAGTATGTTAAAATCTGAATTGTCCTCAAGAGTCGTTGACAAGGGTGGTGAAAATCATTGTGCTATGGACTACAGGTGGAGTTTATTTTATTGTCCTACTTTGATTGTCTAGCTTTAAACACCTCATTGTAAGCAACTTTTCCCAGTCCAAGGGTGAGTGTTGTGTGAAGCGCATGGCAAATGATAAGCCTTGGGTAGTGCATTAATGCTTGTGGCACTTCTGAAATTCTGCTTCGCTTGACAAAACAGAACTTCTTTCAGCATTTGTATCCTGGCCCATCATGATTACAGAGGACTTTTCCTCATTGCAAGAACTAATTCAAGGCACCGCACTGTGACCAGCATCGCAGTTATGAATTGTGGCCCTCCAGAATGGCTGATTTATGTTGCTTCTGGGTCCACTTGACCATCAGTCTGCGCATATGTCTGATATTCAACACATGCTACTTGGGTGTCGAGTACATTCATACTTGGGTTCCCCTCCCTCACGGAGGAATACCAAGACCCGCACCGGTGCAAGGAAGAGAGGGAGGGGGGCTGGGACCCGCACTGGGGCTAGGATGAGAAGTGGAACCCGCATCAGGGCGAGGGAGAGGGGGTTGAGACCCGCGCCAGGGCAAGGGAGATAAGGAGGGAACCGGGACCCATGCAGATTTGGTTAGTAGAATAAAGTCCAAGATACAGATCCCAGAGAACTTCGACACAGTCTTAGGTCCCATTCCTCACGGTCTTACGACACACATTCGTAACACGGTAGAAGCCGCAAAATCATATCCACGGTCCAAAATACGAATACAAATACACGGATTTACCCGGAAGCACGGTCATGGGCGCCCCGCGGTGGCCCGCACGGGACAGTGCGAGCGGGGACACAGATGTGACAATGGATCGTTCATCGGACCACGCGATCCCGTTGGCTTTATCGCGCTCAGTCGATCGCTCAGCGTGCGATTACAACTTCCGCTCTCGCACTCTCGATTTCTACGTGTTAGCACCCTTCGTCTCCACGAGTGCTCTGCTTTGAGACCACTTTGGCTCTGTCTCGATCATCGCGCGCGGGGTAGTCGGCGTTTTCCAATTTGCAACTTCAGCTGCGAGATTCCTCTTTGAACGGTGTTTTGGTAGAAGTTTTCGGGTACAATCCTCTTGGTTCTTGTGGTACGCTTAAATTGTGTTCCATCACGGTTTGTAGAGTTTGGTGCAGTGTCGTGGTTGCGTATGTTTGCAACGTTTGCCAATTGTCTTGCGAATGGAATGCTGCCTGTGATTTAATCTTGAACCGAGCTCCGTTTTCCTGCCACGGCTGGCACCATGGCGGTGTCTGTAGCATCCGTCTCCCTTCTCCCTCGTCAGATTGGCCACGATTGGCATCAATCTGTCTTTCCTCGTGTCTCATCGTCACATCGTCGTAGCGCGCGATGCGATAAAGTTGTTGACAGCTTGCACCTACGCTCAGTAATCACTTCCTTGTAAACCCTCGAACCCTTTGAATTTTGTAATATGGTGCAATTTTTTTCAGTTTTTATCAAACAAAAATTACAGTTATATTGGACTTTAACTAAACTTTTTCTAGTAAAGATATTATGATTTTGATTATTATTACTATTATTTTGAATTGATACATGTATTGGTGGCTAGAATCTTTTCCATTTCCTAACCTGTTTGTATGTGTTGAATTCAATTGAGGAGAACGCCAGGGGTTCAAAAAGGAAACGCAAGTACCGGATTGTAACAGAAGCAGCGTCTAGTGATCATCAAGGGGCACAAGTCAGGACAGCCGAAGGTGAGAATCTAAATCCATGGCACCTGGCCTTCCACGACCTTGTGGTTTCTTGAGACGCATTCAGGTCTTCAGATGTTCTGCGAATAATTATGTGTTTGCAGGAGTTTTTGCTAATGGTCAAGCTCTGCCAACTGCTCAACCAAATGAAATAATTGAGAATGGAAACAAAGCCCGAGAGGAGCTTGAGTCTCCAGACGGTTACTATCGATGGAACAAGCCACAAGCGAGTCCCTTCTTGAGTATAACAGTGCTTGGCGCTACTGGAGAGCTTGCCAGGAACAAAATCTTTCCAGCTTTGTTTGCTCTCTACTACAGCGGAAACTTGTACAAGGTATACGAACAAACAGATAAAGCTATATATGTGCAGGTTTTAAGTGGAACAGTTGTTACCGTGTTTTTTCTGTATTATGGTTACAGACCAGCTCCCTCAAAACTTCAGTGTAGCCATATTTGTAGAGTTGTGGGGCTTGATATTTGCTCGATCGTTTTCACTACACAAGTTGTTGCCTCGTTTAAGATGCTTATTTTGGGGACGATTTAATGTGAACGTTCCTCACGCAGAACATTGCCATTTTTGGATACTCGAGAAGTGAGCTTACGGATGAAGAGTTTCGAGATATGCTTAGTGAGAGCGCGACCTGTCGAGTTGATGAGGGGTACGTGGTTTCTTGTGTCCTTGTCACGCGATGCCCAATCGCAATTTACATCAAATGAGTTAAAATCTTCCAGTATGGCTCAAGTGACTTCAGTTTCCAGTTATTTCCAGTTAAAGCACGAGGCCCAGGGCTTGCGAGCCAGTAGTTCTAGGTTTAGGGAGACAAAGATTTGTTTAGCTCTATTTTTTCTATCTGCAGTGAAAAATGCGGGGAAGCTATGGAGACATTTTTGCAGAGTGTGTACTTCGAGACGGGTGGCTACTCCACTTGTGATGGCATGACAAAGCTGGACAGCCGGCTGAAGGAAATAGAGGTTCGACTACTTAATCTCCTCATGTTTATAATTTGTAAGCTAACTTCAGCAAACCCGAATAATGCGTATCTTCATATACTGAACTATTCGAATAGTTTTTGCTGACATCACCAGGGAATGGGGGAGGCCAATCGCATTTTCTACTTGTCGGTACCGAATGAGATTGTACCAGATGTGAGCAGGTGCCTGAGCAGAGACGCACAAAGCAAAAGCGGCTGGACACGTCTTATTGTAGAGAAACCATTTGGCTCAGACTCCGAGTCGTCAGCGAAGTTGGCTGACAGTCTCTTGCAATATCTGGACGAAAGCCAAATTTACAGGTCTCAACTATTGGCTCTCTAAGTCGTAGGTTTATTTCGACAAGTTAAATCTGTGGTAGTAGGCTTTCATGGTCTTAGATTTTTCACAATTCTCGTTGCAGCAAGGATGCTTTTCTTTCTTTCTTCTCTCTCTCTATTTATTTATCTATTTATTTATCCACTTATTTATTTTTCACTATGTATGCTTGGGGTTTCTCGTAGGTTGATGTCATGTTACGTTAAAAAATGTCTTAACATTTCAGGATTGATCATCACCTTGGAAAGGAGCTCATCGAAAACCTCACTGTTTTGCGTTTCTCCAACTTGGTTTTTGAACCTTTGTGGACTAGAACTTACATTAAAAGTGTCCAGGTGAGTGCTTAAGTGAGCTATATGTCCTGATGACCTCTCAAGCATGCACCACAATTAGCTTGAGTGCTTGGTTCTCGAGAGCATGTATTTATTCATCCTTTGGTCGCATGCATGGTTGGCAGGTGATGCTGGCTGAAGACTGGGGCATGGAGGGGAGAGGAGGGTAATGTCCTGTTCTTATGAACCTTTGATGCAGCTTGTAATAATTTTTATTGTAGGCTCTCTTTTACACAGGATGTCAATTTTAGATAATGCAGCAAATGAAAGAACGTGCTTGTGAATGTTCAGGTATTTTGATCAGCATGGAATTATCCGTGACATTGTACAGAGTCACTTGATGCAAACAATAGCACTCTTTGCCATGGAGCCGCCTGTCAGCTTAGACGGTGAAGACATCCGCAATGAGAAGGTACCAATCACACTCTCTTCGATTTATGTCGAGTTTTGCATTTAGCTCAAAAACTGACAGCTGGTATAACGCTCCGCGTTGGTAGGATTCCAATTTGTCTTTTTCACAAATGCTCATGGATCTGTACAAGTCAATGCCAAATTTTCAAACCCTTCACTTGGTAAGTCCAGTTCTGGATTGGGAACTGGTTTCAACCGTGGCAATTTGTCATTTTTATCGTGTACTCATTAGTGAAAGAACTACTCTCTGCATAGGTCAAGGTTCTACGATCAATGCGGACGCCATCGCTGGAGGATTTCTGTTTGGGTCAATACAAAGCAAGCATATCTAAAGATGGAAAATCAAGAATCTTTGGCTATTTAGAAGAACCTGGGGTTTATCCCAACAGCCTCACTCCTACATTTGTAGCAGGAGTGCTGTACATTGACAATGCCCGTTGGGACGGGGTTCCCTTTCTTATCAAAGCTGGCTATGGACTCATCAAGCACAAGTGCGTCACTGATCCTTCTATTCCTCTCTATCTCTCCATCTATACAGTAAGTTGTGTAAGTTTTTGGCAAGTTACTTACATATGGTGTCCTCTTTTCTAGAGTGGAAATCCGCATCCAATTTCATCACGTTCCCGGAAATCTCTATCGAGAACATATTGGCCTAAATATGGATATGGCCAGCAACGAGCTGATCATCTCCGTGCAGCCAGATGAGGCAATTTTCCTTAAGATCAACAACAAGGTGCCCGGATTGGGCACGCAGCTGGACTCCTCCGAACTCAACCTCCTATACAGAGAAAGGTAAGATAACTACCATCCTCTTTCCCTCAATTCTCTTCTGCACAATCGTTGCATGTTGACTTACTTTATAGACATGGATTCATGTGCTCTTGTTGAATGATATGTTCAGGTATGACTGCGAATCGATCCCAGACTCCTACGAGCGCCTCATCCTGGACGTGATTAAGGGTGACAACCATCTCTTCATCCGCAGTGACGAGCTGCAAGCCTCCTGGGACCTTCTCATGCCCCTCCTGAAAGATATCGAGGAGCAGAAAGTAGCCCCGGAGATGTATACGTTCGGTGGTCGGGGTCCAGTTGGGTCATATTACCTCGGAGCTAAGCACGGCGTAAGATGGGCAGATGAATAATCTAAATCATACTCCGCATGATAGTTTGTCGATATCATTTATTCGTGTAAATCCGCACTTAATTAAATGGTAGTTTCAACAGAGCTGTCCGTTAAACGTCGAGAATGTGGATATGCTCTCATGATTGTTTGGTTGACTTTGTTACGTCGTGTTTAAGGATCGGCATTTCTTTGTAGGACTGAGTTTTGGACTGGCGTAGACTTCTCTAGGTGTTACTGACGTTTTGGAGGCTACAAGACTTTGACGTGGCCTCATGCAGCTTGTCAAGCAGGCGTTGTTATTACTCGCTCCTGGTTCACTCTTGCCAAGCGACCGCTTCAGGCAGTGCTGTTGTCGCAGGTTTGTACGAGGGAAATGAGATAATAAAAACATGAAATGAAAAGAGCCGTTGTGGTCGCATTTTAAGATTCGGGCCATTTTTCATTCTTAATAATCACGACTCTTTAAAACCTCCCCATTGCTTTTGATATAAAACGGCGTTTTTACATGAGTGTCTTTGCAGAACCTACATAGGGACCAATAGAAACCTCGTTGACTCTCAGAAGACGTATCTTGTAGCGCTAGGGTGCTGAAATAAAATATTTCGAGCAGTTCCAGGATTCGGAGTTTTAAAGTTAAGGAAGTCACATCCTATGTTTCCGTTCCTAGGACTATAATAATGCTGTGGGAATAGCCCTTATAATCGAAATTTTCAAGCAAATGATTTCGCTGCTGCTTGTCCTCACAGCCTGGGTTAGTCACACTGGGACCATCTGAATGCAGGCACTCCAGCCAGATCACATGTGAATACAACGCCACACTTCAAAGAGACGTTTTGTTGGAGCTGGAAACGGTAAAGTTTTTAGGTGAATATCCTCTTAACTCTGCTGATCAATCTTCGAATAGTCACACAATTCCAGCTCATACGAAGCATCGTAACTTCTAAATAAAACTTCACGCAAAAGAGAATCAGCTCGTGGTGGTTTCGAATATGCCTGGTTATCCTTCCCAACATGGATCACAGCCGGCTCCAATGCAAGGAGAAGCCAACTGAAACCTACAACGAAGTAGTAGTAACCCTCTTCACTTCATGTCCGCAACATATCATTGACAATTGAATTGGTACCTTATCCTTTCGACCTATGAAGAATCTAAAATTCATAAACCAAAATTCATAAACATGCTTCAGTTGCCACCGATCTTGATCCTATCTCGATATTGATCCTATCTTGCTCTTTTTCTCAAACCTATCAAATATAGACCAAGAATTGAATCTACTTGATGTAGGAAGAAGAAAAACAACTCCATTTGCTACAATGAGATTTAATGATATTAGCATGATCTTGTGTAAAGAAATTGTGAATGAAAAATGTCATAGTGGCTAATGAATTTTGTTAAGAATCTATATATAATTGTGTTACTTAAACATGGTAACAAAGTGATAATTTGTAGAGGTAATACTATGCTTGGAGGTGATACTTATAAGAAGTTGTTGTGCCTAACCTAATCTTATAGATAGTATAGATGAGAAAGTGATATGATTTTCACTAAAAAATGCAAAGTGGATATATGTATTTTCTAATGCTCTCTAAGAAGTGCAATTGGATTGCTAATACTAGGTCTATTAAACTCTTGATGTTGACATTTTCTCAAAGTCTTAAGAATTTTGTTGCATCTATAGCCTTGGTGAATAAATATATCAATTGTTGTATTGTTTGAGCATACTTGAGCTTCAATCCTCAATTCTAGTATGCATTATCAAAGAATATAGTGATGTTCTTCAATGTATTTGGTCTTCACATAAAAGATTGGATTTTTGGCCAATTTGATTGCTTCTAGGTTGTCACATTTGACATATAAAGTAAGGTTGGATGTTTTTTTCAAGTTTTTTTTATTTTTTATTTTATTTTATTTATTATAATACTGGCATTTTTATGCAAAATTAGAACTTAGATTAAAAGAGCAATTTGCAATTCCATCAAAAAATATTTGATGTATAAAATTTTTTTAAATAACTTTTGTTGGAATTGTAAATTTACAACAAAGGACAAGTTATAGTCTCTAAAAGTGCCATTGAATCAAAATATAAATTACTATTGAAAAGAACAAATAAAATGCCATTAATTGGTTTTATTTTCTAGTTTTGTTTTAATATCTAATTTAAAAATTTGATCTTTAAGGAGTAATATAATCTTTGGTTTAACATTTTTTATGCATGTTTTTTTATGAAGATCTAAAGATAATATGAATTTTAGTGCACAAATATTTTATTCTTTTTTTGCACAAATTCCATTCCAAGATACTTTTGAATTGATCCAAGATCCTTCATTTTGTATTTGGTATATAGCTAAAATTTAAATTCTTAGATTTATTTGTTGGAGTTCTTTGTCAATACCAAATTATAAATAAATAGCATGAAAATATTAAAAATATTTAATTTTGCAAGAAGTACATATTTGAATCAAGAACAATACGGATTTAACTAGAATTGTGGATATGGATATTAATTCATTTATGTGATTAAGATTCCAATTTAGTGCTATATCTAAAGTTATAACTATATGTGAAGTTGTCTATTTTATTATTGGTGCAAATGTTTTGTTATAATCTACAACTTCTTTTTATTTAAACATTCTTGCAACAGATTGAACTTTAAATTGCATTTGAAAGGAATTTAATTTTTGATTTACTATGTATATTAACTTTGATATGAGAGCTTTTTACTCTTTGGATATAAGAATTAATTTCTATATTCTATTGTTCCTTGGTGAATCTACTTCTTCTTACATAGAATATGTCCACTCCTTAAAGTTAATAGCCTTTTGGGATGGAATTTTGTTTCAAATTGGATCTTGTGTCTTGAGTATAAAGACATTGTTGTCTTTTGCTATGTTCAAATTTAAATATTATAATCTAGCGGAGATTCTCTTGATATATAATAATATTGTTAAAAGATTGGAAACTTTTGAATCCTAAAGTAATCTTTGAAATGGCAAGTTGTTTTTTGGTATAGCCGACTTTAATACATTATATGTTTCATTTTTTCCAAAATTTTAGATATATTTTTATTTTTCTTGTACTAAGTATTTAGTGATTGATTATAGGTCCATTTTAATATTATTCTTGATATATATATATATATATATATATATATATATATATATATATATTTCTAAAAGAAAGCATTTAGTTCAAGTCTTATATCATTCAAAAAATTTCTAAAAAAATTAGAATAAAAAGAAGAAATTCGAATATTATACCATTTTGCTACTTCATTTTGGTGTATAGTGCAAAAAGAATAAGCTATTGATGGCTCTCTTTAAAGTCCAAAATTCCAAAAAATTAAAGAACATATACTCATCTCCTTTGTCAAAACAAATATAAGCTACAAAAACAATAATTTATTTTTTGACAAAGTAGATAGATTTTAGAGAAACAAAGAATATTTTACTTTTGTAAGCCAAGAAAAAAACTTATGTATAGCATTAGAAATCAATGGTAATGATAAGAATGCAAATAAGTTAGATGAATAAGATAAATGAACCACAAATGTTTGTAATTGGTAATTCAAGTGGTTTGGTGGCTTGGGTGGTGGATTTCTTTAGAATGTAATATTGGTGGTATTTAGCTAAGATACAAGTAATACATTCATTCTTCATGCAACAAAGTTGCAATACACTATGTAATATTTTTGAGTAGACATATGATATATTATTTGGTAATTGACATGATACAAGCCTTTATGTTGGAGATCTACAAGTATAGATTGCTTATCAATGGTGGCAAAAAACTATATTTTTTTTATAAAGAATTATCTAATCTAGTATAAAGTCTATAGACTTTGAGAATTTATCCAATTAGCAAATATGACCAGATTTGGAGGTTTACCTTTGTCATTTACAAAATAAAATTTGTTGTCAAATAAAAAAATGTCATTATTATTGCCATCATCAATGATTTTTTTTCTTTAAAAAATAGATTTTTTTTATTATATTTGGTATATAGATAATATTTTTTATCATTATATTTTTTTAAGGCTAATAATATCCTTCAAAATAATGAAAGAGAAACATTATTTTCCATAGATTTAAAGAATAAGATCTACTATAAGAATATTGGTTAAAACTAAACTTGTCATCAATAATATCATTGCAAGCAAAAAAGTCTAAAAACTAGTCTTGTTTATTTAGTATATATGTTTATGAGTATATGAATATATTATTTTAATAAAAAATATTTTTAAATATATATATTATAATATTTTATATTATATAAATCATAATATATAAAATAATACTTATATATGATGCTTATTATTTTAAACATCTATATTTTATCTTACTCTCATTTGATGTTTATGTAGTATAATATATTTTTTTGAAAAAGATACCAATGGTGAAATGCTATTAATAAAAATTAAAAAAATTAAGAATTAATTATTCATATTAATTTTATAATAATACTCAATGGTGGTATTACTTAAAGAATTCATAATAATTATTTGTATTTTAAAATTTTAATTTAATAATTAATATCAAATTTTGATTTAATAATTAATGTATTCAATTATTCTAATTATATACATACATATATATAGTTGTTTTGAATATCTGAAAGAATTAAATAATTACAAAAAAAATATATTATTAGTTATAATATTGTATAATAAGTTATTAATTTAAACCATTAGCAAAGTCAACTTAAAACTAAAAATAATTAAATTCTCAAAATAGAAAAATTTATATTTTTTAGATTATTTTGAGTATATATTTAGCTTTTAAAATATTAAAATAGTGATAGTGGTTTATTCAAATGTTACAAAAGGCCTTATACACCAAGAGTCAAAATTCTAAAGTTAAAATCAAAGTACATATGTTTTACAAACTAGAAACTAAGTATGTATTTTTAATAAAACCATTAGAAATCTAGATCTCAACAATTAAAGAGGTGAAGATAAGTTATGTCAAAATAAAAAAATAAGGATGTCAAAGAACAAAAAATATCTGTATAATTCTAAATTCTAAATTTTAAATCTTAAAACATAAATAAATCCTAAATCATAGACTTAGAAATCTTAAAATGCAAACAATGGTATATTCAAAACTTACAAAAATCTTAATATCATGAAATTCAAAATTTTGAATCACAAGTGAAAGTAGATATATCTTGAAAATTAGGAAATTTTAAAGAAAATGATTTATACTATTAGAATTACAGATCCTAAAATAAAAAAAATATTGCAAGTCAAATTTAAATTCAAGGATGTCAAAAATTTAAAGACATCTATGTAATCTTAAAAATCTTAAATCCTAAATCTATAATAAGGTTCTCCAATCTACTTAGAAACTCTTTTAAAACCTTTTCTTTTGTCATGTTTTGCTTCTTCAAATATTTTAAACTTCCAATTTTTTCTATAATCTTTAATT